TATGAGTCTCAGAAACATTCGCCATTGATACTGGTTTATGGTTAGTCGAACATTTATCAATGTCACCTTTGTTTTTGGCAATACATATACCATACTTTGGGATAGTCCAATAGTTCTACCGCTCAATAAAGTTTTCATGCCAATTGAAACAAGTATTTTGAACTTACAGTTTATTGTGCTTCGAGAATGTTTACTAGCATTTCTATTATATCTTCTTGAAATCAGAGTAAAATATATGAAATATGTGAATGCATTCAATGATATTAACATAACAGACGATAGCTAAAAGTGAATCATTTCTAAATTGATAATATCCGTTGCCACTGACTCGTATTTCAATTCATCAGAGAGGTTTTGATTGTCAGATGATAGTTTTAAAAAAATTGAGCTGTTGAATATAATAAGAAATGAGCAGCATCATTTATTTCCGATGTGATTAAGATATGACTTCGCGTGTTTCTTTTATTAGCCAAGGATGATCAATCACAGCAAAACTAGAGCTGAATTTTTCTCTTGAATATTCGATTTTATGATCGTCATAGTTCTCGTTCTATCAGGTACATCCGTTGACATCTATTTTTAAATCTTTCTCTTCGAAAAAGAGAACGAACAGTGTACTGTACGCTAGAAGACATTGCATTGTGGAAAATATTCATCATGGATCCTTTACCCTAGAATGCTAATGATTCAAAACGAACTTAAAATTCACATCTTTTTGCTTAGTCTCAATGAAAAAAAATTACTTTATTTTAAATAGCAATTATTGTCTTTGTAGAGTCAGTTGGCATAAGAAAAGAAACGGGTTTTCATTTTGGATATGACATAGTATAATCCCTATTATAGCAATTATACGATGTTCATGCCTGCAAAAGTGTATCCAGTGGAAAAGAGTAAAACGTAAACTGATATATCATTCATTTATTATTATTACGAAGTATTTTTTTATTAATCTATTTTAGCCGTGTTTCTCCTATTGATAAGCATCTGGTTCCCAATCTACGGCGCCTTAACATAAAAAAAAATAGTAATTTAACTTATCTGGAATCAATTATTTGGTTATGATGTTTTACATTCACTGACAAATATCACATTAGTAGCAATGGTCGCTGATGTGCACATTATTCACCATTTAATATCGATGCTTTTCTATTCATGTTTATATTCGCTAGATGTTTGGTGGCGTGTGTAGATTGCAGCGTCCCTATCGGACACGAGCTCTATCATGTTAGACACATTTCAGCAAATGAAAGGACGAGCGCCAATCGAACTACAATTATCTTTATACGAAAATAGTTATTCTATTAGAGTTTTCTCAAGAATATACCTTTGTGCAATATGCTCATGTCAAACGGATTAGAAAAGCTTTATTTTGATATGGAGTGCGAAGATCTAGATATGATAGGCATTGCTTGTTTAATTGTGAAGCGATGACCACATCTACAAATTATAGAGTTCAACATGTATGATTTTCGAAAGAACAGCACTCGTGATTACCGAATCGCGTATTATAACCCGCGGATTGATGCAGCAATACTTTATGTGTGGCTTTGATAACATTAGAGTATTGCATATCGCTATTTCAAAACTTTAATAACAGCGATAGTGTAAAACTTATTGATTATCAAATGATTTCTTGTTATAGTAGGTTGTTTACAGTATGCAACTGTAGATGAGATTTAAATAAAGTATAATTAATATGAAAACAAACCTGAAAGTTATTCAGACAATGGTAGAAAATGTTGTAAAGTAAATTCCGATGTCAAGTCATTCGTTTTGAGAAAATATGTCTACGAAAATCATAAATTTCCAATCTCTCGAACCATTTAGTTTCTTGTTTCTATAAAAATTTGTTCTAGACATGTTTTCATAATACTTCGGTCAAAGGATATGATTTGTTGAAGATTAGAATCACAACATACACTCTTTAACGGTAAATCAGAAAAGAACATCTATACAAAATTGATCAGCTAGAGGGGCTTGTGACTGATTCGAATGCTGTTCACACTTTACTATCAATGCTTTCCGGCGAACGTTTATATGTGTTGACTGTTAGTTGGTATGCGGAAAATACTATCTCACTATTGAAAACAAGCAGCGTTTAATTAGACACATTTCAACAAATGGAAGAACACCTGTCAATCGGACTAGATAGAAACAGATATTGTATTAGTGCTGTAGCAGTACCACAGATGGAGAAATTTTTATGTCTTTAGCTATTTTCGGTCACCGCACACATCGTCGCAAGACAATTCGTTGCAATAAGTTAGTCGTATATAAAGGAGAGAGTACACTCAGAGGTGCTCCGACCATTCCAAATTTGGGGGCGAGGTGTAAAAATTTTCTGCTTCAAAATGCTAGGGTCACGGGTACCGCGAGAAAGGAAAACTTGGGAGGAGATAGCTTATAAAATCCTACTTTCCAAAAATGCTGAGGGGGAATAACCAGTGTTGCCAGATCTCCCACGATTTTGAAAACTTCAGCATTTTCACAATTTTATCTAATTTTTCTAGATTTTTTGAGGATTTTGAGATTTGAATTCTGGATTTTCGAGTTCAACATTTGCCAATACTGAGAATAACTTATAAAATCATGCTGAAGATAGTATAAGTTTTATTTTGTAAAGCGCAATGCAAGATAATTTTTCGAGCATTGGGGGGGGGGGGGGGGGGGGGGGGGGGCCGAGATGTTACACCCTCGTCACCCCCTCCCCCAAGTCGAGGCACCACTGAGTACATTAATTGAGTTAAGTAATTTTGTTCAATATGTTATTCAATTAATCACCTTCATAAATGTATTCCTTTACAATAATAACACTCTCTTTTATTACTACAACTTCTTTTTTTCAAAAAATGACAGAAATGCTAATTTATAATTCATTTTTTTTAAATTAAAATTACCCAAAATTTAAAGTTAAATTCTAACTAAAATTCTACCAAGTTAACTTTATAATAATTCTAATTTCCAAAGCCACTTCATTCAATAGTCGAGTAACTTTGCAAGTCACAGAAAATTATCCTAGAAATTTCTGAACGAATTATACAGCTCAAGAGAGAGCGCAGTTTTTCTTTCATTACTTCTTGACTTCTCTTCACTGCATATTTCATCAGAAATCGTCTCCCTAAAAGACTTGAGTTGACTTTCATTTGATAGCAGACTATTTGCAATGTCACAGAAGAATTTTACAGAGCTAGATCATTTTTTCTTCAAAACGAATCTATTATCCATCATATCGATCTACTTAGTTATTATTCCATAGAGTGTACATTTATGAAGGTGATTAATTGAATAACATAGTGAAAAAAAACATCTAATTCAATTAATGTACTCTCTCCTTTATATACGACTAACTTATCGCAACGAATTTTTATTGCGACGAATTGTCGTGCGGCGAAATGTACTAGTGCCGCTATTTTCATAGAAAATTCTTTGATTAGGTATGACGATTTTTTATTTTTAAATTGAGGCAAAGTCGGGTGTCGGTGTGGAGGGGAAGGAAACTACACAACATCCCCAACGCCCTCCAGATATAAATCTTTGTTCGCCAGTCATATGAAATATCCGCCTGCATGTCAAAAGTCTTTCGTCACTCTGATTCTCGATTCCTATGACGAATATTTTTATCATTTATCAATGCTATGTCACTTGTGCAGGTAAGTTTCGGCAAGGGAAAAGTCAAAATGTTTTTCAAAACACTCGTCGACAACGTGAAGAATCCGCAAAGTATCAAAAATATTCTGCTGTAGTTAATAAATAGGAGAACATAAAACAATGTGTGCGTGTACTTTGATACCGATGTTATTTGCTTGTCCGAAACATATCTTTGTTGATATATACTTGGAAACATTTCTAAGACAATTCAAACTGAATATACTTTTTCTTTTATCTACAACGAATTTCGAAAGAAGAAATGTTTAGTTGAAGAGTTTTTAAGTGAAAATTTTGTAGATTTCGAATGCTTTTAAAACAACGAATGAGATAGAAGATAAAATTATAAGTATATGTTAAAGATTAATATCAAGTCTTTCTTCGAACATATCGTATGAGAAGACGTCATGACACATGTTTAATATCAACAATCTTTCTTCATTACATTCTGGAGGTTTTTTGAAATTCGTTATCATAAAATTAAAATTACATCATGCAATTCATACTGACGAAAACGAATAATTTAGAATGTTACTACATGTATTATGCCAATGCGAAATAATTGAATATTCACGTACTCTTCGAAAGGCTGATAAGAAAGTTCGAGAAAAAAAATTGATTGGATTTTATCCTTATATAACTCGACCGAGAGTATTGATATGAGGGCAAAGTACGCATCGTTCGCCTCTATTTTACATAAAGCAATACCGATCTACACTTCATAACTAGAAAAATAATGTAAAGCCCTCACTGAATCTATTTCTTTCATATCGCTTTTGCATTTCTGACGTTTAATTAGAGTGAAATTTCAAAAGATTTGTTTTTTTCAAATGTTTATTTAATTATCATCTTCTTGTTTTAATTGTTGCTTCTATTGATGTTATTACATAAAAATAGAAGATCGAAAACAAACACAAAATTGTAACATTAATCTACGTCGGCCATGGTATCATACCTTAAAACTCGATTCCCTATTCACTGAATTCTCAATACAATATAAAACTTGGAAATCACAACTCCATAAAAAAAAGATAACAAAACAAAAACAGATCTTACACCGGGCACTAACTAAACTTCTTAACCTAAATTTTTAGCAAATATTATCTAAACTTTCTTTTATTGTGATGAAATGCATATTTCAATTTCTTATTTCCCTTCTTCGATGTTGAACGTAACTTCATGAGATTGATTTTCATACATGTAATCATGTTGGATGGTGGCCATTGTACATATGTGTTAAAACTAGAGTTTGTTTTCGTCTTCATATTTTTGCGAATTAGTTGGTATGCAACACTCTGTCGTACGTGCATGTCGTTCGATGTTATACGGCACACGCAGACGGTGTTGCGTAATCCTCAGCTTGGATGCTTTTTGTAGTAGCTATAGATTAAATCATAATCGACCAGACAAACAACTTGATGATCAATACGATCATAGTCTGAATATAAAAATAATTTACGGTGCATATCAAGACTGGTTGATGCCTAAATTATAAACGAGAAAAACAAAACATGATTGACATTTTTCATGATAAAAAATATTTACTGTTCCACCAAAAATTGTTGTTGTAAATTTGCCTGGATTAAACAAAGCAACGACCTTACGAATGACATCATTGTATTGCTGGTAGGGAACATTCGTTTCAAAACTAACATATGAAAAATCCGGTTCCGGTGTTATATGAATAGTAAAATAATGCCCATCCGGTAAAAGGCCATTCATTGAATAACCACATGGATCAAATAAATAATCAAAGATTCTGGCATTCGGAAAGATTTTATCAATACCAGCTTTCTAGAATGAAATAGAAATATTTGTTTGTGATCTTTCCTAGGTTAATCTAACCTTTCGCCTTGTACCCAACAAGAAGAAACGATAGACAACAAGAACTTACTTTCGTCGCTTCTGCTACCGAACTTGTATGTTCTTGATAGAATATTTTCATTTTATCCCGATCTAAATCAGTCATTATGATTTCCAATGTTTGATCTGTTTTCGCATGGACACATGTCTTGTCGAGCGTATATAAGTACCTAAATATACATAGAAAAAAAAATAAAATCGAGGCAAAAAAAATCTATTGAATCGTAAACAGCTGTATGCAATGTTGGATTTTTTCCCATACAAAATCACTGATACAATCTCTCAAAAAATTCGTCTAGTCGTCACTGTTCGCCTGTCGACATCTTTCGAAAAGTGTAGTTATTCATAAATTGTGACTCACCAACAATCGACATTGGTTCGACCAAGGACATATGCACTACCACCTAAACGAATAAAAGTTAAATAAGTTCACCATTATTTCCATGTTCTTCTAATTACCTTCGAAAAGTGAATCAAGATAAGCAACCTAAAATATCATAAAATAAATTCTATCGAAATTCAAATTACTTTTCTATTTACTTCATGATCGAAACTTGTATGAGGTGCTTTTTGTAATTCAGGTCGAAGAAATTTTCGACGACTGTAGAAGACTTGCTATAGAACAAAAAAGAAAGAAAGATAAACAAAATGTTCTAAAATAATAAACAATAGTCTTACATCGACTACATCAAAATCACAATAATCTCGTGCAAGTTCCAATATTGGTTGAACTGCGTGAAGTAATGTTGTTTCGCCGCATGTTTTTAAAACAAAATGTGTTCGAAAAATGAACATGCTCGATTCACTTAAAACATATGTATCGGTTGTAGCCGATTGAGCATATTGAAGAACCTTACAGTTAACCAAATTTAATACTTCTTCAATAATATCCCTAAAGCAAAAAAAATAACGGATCGATAAGACTTTTAAATTCAATAGTAAATTCATACCGCGGTATATTTCTTAAGTCATTTCGTGGTAAATATTTTGCTGTACTGCTGGCACTTGTTGCGAACCAGATTTCCAGTAATTTTTCAGCTCCTTCGAAGAAATGGCCAGTCATTCGCGTTTGTATAGCTCACGAATGGTTCGTTTTTGAGCGACAAGAGACTGCTGGTAAAAAAATTTGTTGTTTCTTCTATAAACAGAAGACTCTTACACTATATATATATATATATACCCTAACGAATATAACGTTTTTTTCCTCTTCTGCTCCTTTCTCTCTTTTCTCTTTTTTTTTTCTTCTCTCGGTGTATTCGTCGAATCGGCATCGAGACGGCTATGCCGGTTGCCAAATTACTCTCGAGAGCAAGCAACAATCATATAAAGGAATGTCCTTTTTTCTCTTTTTTTTCTCTTTTTTTCTAACTCGAAAACAGCATCAACAAGACATAGAAACCATCTACATGACATGCCAAAGCAAATTTTAAATAAGAAAATAAATAAGAAACGAAGTTCACTTGATCATAGTCAACTATGAATATTTTTACTCGCGGAGAGGTAAAAAGAAATTGAATCTTTCTATCGACTAAAACAAAGGCTTTTTTTCCTTTTCTCTCATATCATTAGACTAAAAACAAATAGTTGTTTTTCTCAACTAAAGTAACGCAGGAAAACATGACGTGGTGTGATAGCTAAAATCTCCGGTAATCAGCTCCATTTATATAAATATTGTTTCTGTTAAGCAAAACAACAACAACAAAATACATATATATGTATTTGGCTTAGACTTTAATGCAATTTGAAAATTTACGCTTAGACATAAAATAAATATTAAAAGCAAAAATTACAATTGTATAGAAAAATAAATAATTGTTTTTTACGGCTAAAACGAGGTTTACATTCTTGAACCTCGTTCTTGTAAAATCTAAAAATAAAAAAATAATTTAAAATTAATTATTTTGATTATTATTTCCTTACTTTAACGCGTTCCGATACATAATTATTGTTATCTTCTGACAATCCTCGATCGTACTGTTTTGATACAATACATAGAAATTCACCTTCAGGATAGATGTAACTTGATCCAATCGGTGAATGACCAATAAGCTAAAGATTGCAAAAATTGTTTTTGCTACAAAAAAGAATAGTGTTTCTATTTATAAACCTGTTCAAATTTCCACCCATCAGTTAATGATGACATCAATTGTGTTACTTCTTTTTCTTTACATTGAATGACTCGATAAACACGATTTGTTGCATCCTGAAAGCAAAATAAATTACTTTTTTTCTTTTGATCATTAATAGATATTATTTATTACGTCGTCGACTTTTCGTTTATCTCTTTCGCGAATTCTTTCTTTCGCGAGATCGATTAATGTTTGTAAATTATAAAATTCGGCTTCTTCTAGGAGACCTTCTTCAACGAGATTTGTTTCAAGAATTAATTTACCATGACGGAGATAACTAATATATAGATTTAAATAAAACCATGAAATCAAATAACTGCCTACTTTAATACAACAGTAAAATAATTAGGATCTCGGTCAATTAGATAAGCACCTTGTTCATCCTTTACAGGATAGAAATTAATTCATTAGTAAATATTTAAAAAAATTTACGTACAACATCAGTTTTAAGATTCGATTCATTTTGGCATAATCGGCTTAGAAAAGATTTTTCTCGTGATAATGTTGTGCGAGTTGTTAGAAAATGTTTACCACCAACATTTAGTAAAATCCAATCAGTATTTCTATCAAAAACGTTTCGACTAGAATCATTACTAGCACATGCTACTGGTTCACCATTTTCTACATGTTTTATGGAATCACTTGTCAGCATTTTATAAAAAAAAGAATTAAAAGGTTAACTTTTCTCATTCGTTAGAAAGAAAGAAATATGATGAAGTATATATATTTCTCTTCAATCTTCTTCTTGTTGTTGTAGAATATTTATCAAGTGTAAAATATTGGCTACTAAGCTTGAACTAGATGGCAGTAACGATTAGTAGGAACATGTTTTTTTTGCTACTTGAAATTATGATTCACACTGGAATTATATCGAGAGTACACTTATCTATGATGATGTTCATAGTATGATGAGAATAAAAGATTATTTCTTAGTTTGCATTGACGTATCTTTATCTAGACTATTTGTATTATGGAAGAAAGTTCAAGATTTAATCAAAAATAATAATAGAAAGGTCAACTTGTTCTCGACATGAATCAGAAGAGATGATGATGTATTCAGTGTTTTTGTTCCATTATTTGTATCTGACAGTTATTGCATATCGAGTAGCTGAAGAGACGGAGAGAATAAAGCAAGGTCATTCCTGCGGTGAAACGCCTTAGATAGTTAATTGAAATATTCTATGTCTGACTATTTTAAAAAGTGTAACTAAAATATGGTCACCGTCATCATATTTTAGAAAACCAAATTAGAAATGATCACGACCGTGAAGTATGAAGAATACTTTCAAATGACTACGGTGAAGAGATCAACAAATGCCATTTTCTCTCGGATTTTAAAAATCATTTCCCAAGTTGAAATGCTAATTCATTGAAGTTTTTAGACTCGTCTCCGTTTATTTTGATGTGCCGCAGAAAAGTTCGAAAGGAAAATATCGAAAATTTTAACTAACACCAACGTCTGTATTGAGACATCAACGTATAGATTATAGATACGTCAGTCATTCAAAAACGAGATTTACAAATGCCATCTTTTCCATTTAATAAATGTAAGTGAAATGCCCGTTAAATGCTTCATTACATTAATAAGACCATCAAGATCTATTTTAAATACAAATAGAGGATTTCCTTTTTATGATTGAAGATCATATGTTATCTGCCACCATCATCGATGATAACTTAATAGTGTCGAGCTCACTGAATAATAAACTATAATAGTAGGATTGCCATTTAGGAGAGACGTTGCTTTTTTCGGCATTTTTCCTTTCAGTCTTTATTTTCAGCTATAAAACTCAACATAAGGAAAGTAATAGCTACAAGATTAACTCCTCACGAGGGAACGTTTCCAAGTGATACCAACCATTTGGACTCATATTTTGCCCATAATTAGGATCCCGTGAGACTAGAAAGAGTCTAAAAGATTTCGAGCCATTAGACCTTTCTTTCAAAGTTGTTAACATTTTACTGAATTTTTGACCTTGGACAAGCAATTTAAGGGAAAATTGAGTGAAACAATGTCGGACTGATATTTTGTCTAACAATAGGTCTCATAGAATTCTACTTATGGGCAAAATATGAGTCCAAATGGTTGCTATCACTTGGAACCGTTCCCTCGTCAGTACAAAAAATATCATTTGTTTTTAATCATCTTCAAGTGTACGTTTAGGCTGTCATTTCTGACTTCAAGTAGAATGCATTCAATTAGCAAGAAAGTTGTGATAGAGTGAGAGTTTAATCTGACATATTACAAATTTTTATGTGAGTAAATCAAAGTTTTGAGCTCAAGTCATGATTCAGATCGGCTCGACCAGCCATAATTGTTTCTAGTAAAATGCGATAGTATCTTTATTTATTGTTCTCATTATAGATTTAAAAAAATACCTTTGTCTGTACATGTTTTTAATCAGTTCACAAAAGCAAAACAAAAAAATCATAGTAGGCATGGAAGTGATATCATCGGTTTGATTGTTGGACAATATTCTGAAGCATAATCATTATTCCAGTATTATACTGCTCAAGATCGTTTGCTGCGAAACCATAATCAAGATAACCGTGTGGCCATTCATCGACGACAACTAAATGATGGGGCACATTAAGAGTACGTAACCTCCGTGCAAATTCAACATTATCGTCAATAAATGGATCTGTAAAAATAAAGATGATTTTCATTTTCAACACAAAATTTGCGAACTTACCACGTGCACATGGCTAAAACAGAAGATTAAAAGAATTATAATTTAATTTTGTAAAATCAAAGGAAAATGATAACAGAAAAGTATTATTATTCATTCGTAATCAAATATGTTAATGTTATTAAATAAATTCATTTAATGATGAAAATTGTTCGTTAATATCATATTGTTTTGCTATATCGATCATTATGCGATCCGTTGCTCGTTTACAATCATTATTTCCATTATAGAAATTTAAAAAACCATGCGTTAAAGTCTCCACAACTGTTATATGATGTGCAACAGATAGTAGACGAAGACGACGAGCAAATGCTAGTGAATCATCCAAAAGCGGATCAAGATGGCATGCCTGAAATTAATTAGTTCTTGTTTAAAGGAAAGGCATAGCGTAAAACTTTTCTCTTCAGTAGGAGAAATATAATCTAGTTTACCAAGAAATGAAAAATTGCTTTCAACACGCAAATTACAGAGTTTTTGTTAGTATATTAGTGAGAGAGAGAGAGAGAGAAAAGTAAAAATAGCAGATTTACTGAGATAAGCATTGTTAAAGTTTTTGCTGAAGTAATTGCCAATTCAAGAAGGAACTTACTACAAGATGCGTTGTCGGAAATTGCCGTAAGATATCATCTGAAGCGCACAACGGTGACATATGAGGATGACTTGGTAACGGTGATTCACGTAATTTTCGAAGAAAATAAGCTTGACGTGAACCCATGATCTCAGCTAAAGGAAATAAAGAAAGGACGACGGCGTTTTTTTTTTCGAATATTTAATTACGAAAGTTACATACCTAGTCGAGCATGATAAATGTCTTTCACTTCAAGTTTAGTAGGTTCCGGTATGTCTTCTTCTTCGGATACTATTTGATTGGGTGATGCTCTTGTAGAGTCAATTTTTCGTTGTTTTTCCGGTGTACTGTTACCAGAAACAGTTGGTGAAACAAGTTGATCATCGGATTTAATACCAGTATAGGCAGCAAGACAACGCCAAAGAAAACCGGTATTTAACAGTGGATCCATAACAGCCATTAATCGAGATGGTGATATACTAAATTCAGAATAAGTTTTAATTCTGTTTATGTTCAGTCAAAGTAAACATCGATTTCTACTATTTGCGTTGATCAGATTATTTACCTGTAGCGAAGGAGAAATGGCGTATAAAAACAAATAATTCCATCGGGTTTTCTTAAACCAGCTTCGATGGCTTTTATTGTCACTACAGTTATTAGATTGCCACCAGCGCTGTCACCCACTAATAAAAGTGTCTTGCCTGTCCAACCAAGTTTACTGGCATTCTTTAAAATCCATGCGTATGCATAAAAACATTCTTCAATAGCACGAGGAAATGGATATTCAGGTGCAAGCGAATAATCAACAGATACAATAGGTATTTCCAAACCTAATGCCCATGGCTTTAGATAAACCTATAACAAAACAAGAAAATTAGTTCATATAGAACAAACGGACAGTTCTATACTTCATGAGTTGTTGATGACGTAGCAATAAAACCACCACCATGAATATGCATCAGAAGTTGATCACTCATTGGCAATATTTTTTTTGATGACGTTTCAAAGTCAGATTTTTTCAAAGGCAATTTATCCATTCCTTCTCGCATTTCATGCGATAAAAGTTTAATATTGACAAATTGCTTTGATTGCATAGTACCCGAACTTGTTGGACTATCAGATCCAGATCCGATATTACCAGCCGGGGGTTCATTTGGTTCATCAACGTCAGCACTAGCAGTTGGCGGTGGAATAATAATTGAATCGATAACAATAGGTTGAGGCCCAATTCGAAAATATTTCGATACCGTTACATTAGGAGCAATATAACGTGAACCTCGTTTAATGAAATCATGCTCGACAAGATTCCAAAACGATTTACAAAATAAATAATCACAATCACGAAATATAGCACCGCACTAAAAGAAAAAATCGACCGAATGCAAGGAAATGTTTTGTTTAAAGAAATCACTACTCAACCTTAGCTGCTCGTTGTTCAGGAAATAGAATATATTTTGGTGCTGTGGCGAGACTAGCTGCTGCGAAAGGTATTGATCGATTATATGTTTCATGATAAGCAGCTAGACCAGCTAATATAAAAGTAATCATGGTTTCCAAAGATTGAGCAAACTGAAATAAAAAAAAATTCGATCTTTAATAATTATAACAATAATCAATTGAATGTTTCGTATGAATCGTTCTTATTGTTTAATTGGAAGACAAAAACAAAATCATATTGCATTACGATTGATTGAGTGATATAACAGTACGCATGCGTTTGCTACAAAAAACCTCATCCGCAGAAATACTTTAATCTTACTTGAAATCCACATGTACTTCCAAAAAAATTTTCCGAGTCGAAAGCAACTATTTTAAAATAATCGAGTTCGATATCCATCGGTACTTGAGTTACATCAATCTAAATGTAAAACAGAAAATTATTTTCCTTTCCTCAAGCGTTTTTCTTTGTTTACATATAAACTTTTTTTATCGGTGACGCCTAGAATTTTAACAGCAAACGATAACATATGCTGCATGCTTGTGAGAACTTTTGTCCAAGAGTTAAGATCTTGAAATAATTTTGATGAATGCATGAGATTAAATAAAATCCCAGCACGTTTTACATCAACTTGTCGAAGTATATCTAACGTTCGTAAACATGCATGGCCATGCGATACAACTAATGTTCGATATCCATTAGCACGAATCTATTTCACAAGAGAAAAACAAATTGATGAATATATTGAATATTTCGTTTTTACTTCAGGACTATAATCAAAATGATGAAAATTGTCTATTAGATATCGAATAAGTGGTAAAGTTAATTCTAATGAATGTAAAAGTTGCGTTAATAAGCGTTCAAATTTTCGACAAATATCATTTTTTTGTTGAGAAAAATAATTACAATTTATGTGAGCTAATTCGCGAACTTGTAAATATGTCGCATCAAAATTAAAATTTACATCGATTGTTTCCGGTGTCGGAGTCATTGCAGTGGATGTTTGTTTTTGCAATTTTGGAAGATGATTTAAATCGGACGGAATTGTTGTTGAACTACGCATTTTTGGCGATGAGTCTGAACTGGAAGGCATGGAAGAAGAAGATTTGAAATCGGTACGAGTTGATAAAATATGTTTTGTTATTGGTTTAAAAAATGAAGATGATATGGAAGAATTTTCATTCGATTCTGTACTACGTACGGGACTCATTGATGAATAATTCGGAGTAGAATTTGTTGTTTCATCGTTGGATGGAAGTTCTTCGCTGTTAGTGATACTAAATGAATACTTTCGATGTTCACTATATGAAAAACGTGCAAACAAAAAAATACATTATCTTATAGCGAAAGGTTATGTGCTCTCGTGCGTATCGATTTTATAACGTGACAAATTGTCTCGTTCACTAAATGCGTTCAACCTTGGATATACAAGTAGCTGAGTTTTTTCTCAATTATTTAATACTAAAATTCACTCTTGAAAACAGTCAAAAATAAAAGCTGTGTTGTTTTTCGGCATTTAAAGTTAAGTACGTCTCACGCAAATCGTCTTGTCGTTTTCTCTTTTTATTTATCATTCATTCATCAGTAAACCTGGCGTGAATATCGCATGATTTTTCATTGCGAAAAAAAATATTCTCTGGATATTTTCTTTTTCACAACACAATATCTTTGACTCACCAAGCTGGAAATGGTACTGCGGTGTTTGTCATATTTTATTGTTGCTATCGATCACTGGGTTACGCTACTGACTGATTGGAGACAGCAGACACTTAGCAGGCTTGAAATGCTGCTACACATAAAAGTAAAAGAATGCGTAGGACGTAACACCTGCCGCACGTCTGAATTTTTTTATTGTTGTGTTCTCTTTTCAATGGTAAACGCTGTTACAAAAAAAGTCTTTGCATTTATTTGATCCTCATAGCTGTAAGAAAGAAAAGGGCCGATTTGCAACAATAAATAAAAATACTCTGAAGAGTTATCTCATGACTCTCTTGCTTACGGGGCTAGGAGATAAAGAACTGTAATGTAAAGAATAATCTTTCTGTTTCCTTAACATTGAGTTAAGTATACTCTGAGATAAGATGTCAACAAATGATATGAAGGAAAATTTCAGAGATATAAAATAGCAAATTTTTACTTACTTGATGATGATCAAAAGAAAACAACGTCACAGTTCTAGTGCAGTATCAACAAAAAACTGATACTGTTTTGATATCATACGAAATAAAAATTTTAAAATTATACTAATCTACATGTGGAGAAAATCACATTGAGACTGATCACGTCATTTTTATTTTTAATGGAGATATAAATATCCATTTAGATTAATATCTGTAACCTCCAAAAGAACTGCATTCTTTTCAATTTCGTCTCATTTAGAATTCGTCAGTCACTCAGTTTCAAAATATATCTCTTTTCTTCATCGAGTAGTCAAGCCTTTGACGATAGAGGTCACTCAGCCATGTGATTATTATTTGCTGTTTATTTAGATTGAATTCAATACATTTCGATTTTAATAGTGACAAAAAACAACGGTAGACTAATTGAGTGTAGTAGAAAAAACCCTACGGCGTTGGTAGAGTTGCGTAAATGAAAGGAACATACTAATTTACCCACATCCACACCCTCCAGTTTTTTAATGTGTTTGACTGAGCGAAAATTTATGGAACAAAACAGTGTGTTTGAATGCATATATTTATTGGAATTCGAATAAGATTAATACTGTATCATATGATAGATATTTCATTTGTCTTAAAACAAAACATATTTAAGTCACTTAATCTGTCACTGATACATTAAATTAAAATGAACCGTTCTTCTTTGACATTGGAAATTCATTCGCACTAACTGAATCATCCACTGATACTTTACAATTTCGTTTAAAAGTTTTAACACAGAAGAAACCACCCACTGCCAAAGTCGCCACAATCAGAATACTAAGACCAAGTGATAGGCCAAGAATTAGAAAAAAATCATTTCCCTTGTCTGCTAAAGTAAACAAACTTATTTGTACGAAAATGAAACATATTTATGCTTGCGTGAAGACGATTGGGTGACTTCTTCCGTCGAGCGTCTTTCTGTTGTTGTTGAAGGTTGGGATACGGTAGTTGTTTGGCTAACAAATGATTCAAACACATCTAAAACAACATTCAATCATTGTGTTCTATCATTTCTCGCGAACTTCCTTACTACGACAGTTTCGGTTATACATATTGATGTTGTCCAATGCAAAGTAGATTGTTTTATTTAAAGCAGGATCCTTAGTTCGATTAGTTGCTGTCACTTCAAAACGAAAGATCAACTAAAACAATCGATAAATTAAATCCAGATAACGTTTAACTGCGAAACAATATTACTGTGTAATTAGTCGATGCCGAATTGAATGTTACATTTCGAGAATGCCAACGATTTTCTATCATGTCAATATCTGAAAGTCGATCGATTTCGATTTCATCTTCGGCTTTATTATCAGATTTAATCAAAACTGAAACTTGTTGGCCCAAAACCAGTTTCTCATAAACAGTAAAGTAATAATAATATTGAAGACATTGCTCTTCAACTGAATCACGCATCATTGCATCTTGACTAATCAATTGATTAATAGTTTTACTTGATTCCCAAGCATTAATAGAGACCAAACCATAATATCCTAACAAAGAGAGACATATCGATCTGTAATTTTCAGATCTTGCTTCTAGGAACTTTGAGAAATGCGTAAATTAGATGAATTTTTCAGATTCGAGGCAGTATACGTTGAAAGAATGAATGAAAAATCGAACACCTTTTAGGACTTGATCTACACGGAAGTTACGAGTTTTCATCGAGTATCGTGTAGTTTTGATGCAACAGTTTTACCTAGTCTACAATTTGCTATCTTCTTGTTCATCGTTGGACATTGATTATTGTAACAAAACCATATTTCTGAACTAGTGGTATTTGTGGTATTATCCACCCGTGGCTGATACGGCAACTCGCATGTCTCATTATTACTCGTAGGTTCACCTATGAATAATCAATAATATGAAGAAAAAAAACTTTTTAAATGGAAGATAAAGATAAATACTAACTAATGGAGCTAACATCCGAAAGAGGAACTCGAGGCGGTTCACTCAAATCACTGGTGATGAATTGACTTCCATTTGCAAGTAAAAGTTCACTATTTTCAAAGCATAGAGTAGTAGTAAAATCACAGGTAAATAATTCAATAAGCGGCTTTTGTGTGGTCAAAGACGATGTAGTGCTTTGTATTGAAGTTGTCTAAAAAGAATAAATAGAGATTCAACATTCAAGTTTTTCTGAAGCTCATTCTGTTGAAAAAATATCATGCTCTACTAGTCGGCTGTAAACAAAGAGGAATATCCTTCAAATACATGAAATACGTACTTCTATAGATGTATTTATGGTAGGATTAGTGTCTATAACAGAAAATAGGCTAAAAACTGGAGCAACGTGTTATTTATCAATAATAGAACATACCACATGGTTGGTCAAAAATCGTGATTTCATCCAATCCAAAATGTAAACTGAAACCTGATACATCCCGCCTCATTCTAAATGTAAGCTTGAAAGAGACGAAACAATATTAAAATCAATAAAACACTCAACAGTCACTCACTTCATAAGACGACGATGCAGGAGACGTGAAATTACTTCGATTGTGTTGCCATTTATTTTCTGGTTGTGCTATCACTTCGACTATTTGTTCTCTGTCTGTGCCTACTTTCCATCCAACTTGCATTTTGGCATTGTTAAATATGTCTGGTACATAGTAATAGAAATCAAGACATTGGATAGTACTTGAACTTTTTCTAACTTTAGTTGTATAAGTCTGATCAAATACGCCAACACCATCTGATGCTCGTATTTTAGCAAATTGGCCTGTAAGAAACAAATGCATTCAAGAACTATTAAGAAGAAATGAAATCTAAGAAGATAAACAACCAATAGAACATTGACCAACACCAGATGCAGTTGGGCATGTGTAACTGGTATTATTATAACGTTGACAAAAGTACATATCCCAGCTTTCTGGAGAATCTTGGTAAGGAAATTCACAAAATTCATTATTGGGTGATGTCATTGAAACTATATAATAAATGATACTTAAGAATGACGCCTTCTACCGCCCAAGCCTATAACACTTACGAATGGAAGTGACATCGGATAAGGGTTGAGTAGGATTACTATTTAGTTTAATGCCAGTTGATACCTCAAAATTATTGACTTTTCCGGTTGTTAAGTTGAACTGACAATCATTAGTTCCATCAATATCGAAATTACATTCGTAGTTTCTCTCCTGAGAGCAGCATAATGTAAATATTAAAAGAAAAACTACATTACAAAAGTGTAAAAGTTAAGGAGGTTATTCGACATTAGAACATACCAGTTAAAATGTTAAAACTTCGATTTATCATAGTAGAAGTAAATTTTCACTGAAACGACGAAAAACTTATTTTATGAATATCATAGGTGTTTAATGGCAATGTTAATTGATAGCAACATGAAATGAATTCAAAATATGAAGATGCAAGATGACAAGATGAATTACAACATATCTTGTGATGAAAGACTAACCTGCAACGGTTATCTTTTTTTGGGATATTGTATATAAATAAGGAGAAGGACGATATGTAATGTGTCTCGTTATCATCTATCAACTCATAAGAAAACAAAAACAAATACCTGTAGATCACGTTACTTTTACAAATGACTCATACCATACCTTTGATTCACGCTGGACGCTAGTTTGTTAACATCATTTATGTATAACTGTTATTTTTCGTATTCGTCGGGGGTGTAGGTCTGTCTTATAGAAAGAAACATGCTCATCTACCCATGCACATACACGCCCTAACTATGATGGTCACTTTGAAAATTCAAATGAGAAAGACCAATAGTGTTGAGAGAGTAACTTAAATCAAACGAAAACACATTTTTTAGCCGAAAGCATCGATGCTGCATGTGCTCTCTTTTTTCATCAGATCTCCAAGCTGGAAATACTTGCTATTTGATGCATAGATATATTGAAATATTGAAAAGTTAAAGGTGCAGATCAAAGTTTTTCAAAATGGTTCAGAAAATAATAACCCTAAACAAATGCTGACAGTTTCACAGTTTGCAATTATGTAAGGATTCGATTGCACTCGTACCGACAAAATGGTTTGGAGTTCGACATTTCTTATGAAGGATCATCGTATTTTTTCCTCTAAACACGTTTTCTAGTGCTCAGTTAATTTTCCAAAAAACTTCTTGGGTCCCCATGGAATCCCCCAAGTGTCATTCTGAACCACTGAGAATCATGACAATTATGCATTGGGCGATCGTGTTTGTTTATCACAGAAGATATTCAAATTAACAAAGTATAATACGATAGTTCAACTGCATATAAAAAACATGTGTACCACATCTGCCATAATATTGTGTTGTTTGAGTTGATCATATAGAAAAAGCAAGGCAGACACGGCTTTCTGTTAAGAAGTCAGAAAACATTGGAAGTCATGGCTTTTTCAATATGTTTCACAAATTGAAAATTTACGGAACAAAGCAGTTCGATTTAAATTCATGTGTCTATTGGAATCAGTATAAGATAAATACGTATTACGATATAAAATATTTCTTATTAAACTATGCACATTTGTCTTAAAAGAGAATATTTTTAGATCACTTAAGCTGTCACAAGTACATTTGATTCAGTTGCATTGTTGTTCTTTGTCATTAGAAATTCATTCGTACCAGCTGAATTGTTCACTGATACTTTACCATTTGTTTTAATCTTGTTAACATAGTACACAGCACCCGCTACCAAAGTTACTGTTGCGGGAAAACCAAGACCAAGTGAAAGGTCAAGAATTAGACCCAAGTTGTTCGGCTTTGCTGAATCAGAAAATACAACCAATACAGAAGACCAAAAAATTGTTCTTTTTTGCTGCTCACTTGCGATTGTAGTTGTCGATCTACTGGTGTTATTTGTCATTGGCGTTGTCTCTTCTGCTTCTGTTATCGTTTCCCATGTCACTGCTGTTGTTGTTGTTGTTTTGTCTTCAGTCGTTATCATACTAATGGTGGTGTCAGGCATTAAGAGACTTGTGGTTGTTCGTTCAGATATAGTCGTCTCAGGTAATGATGGTGAAGTTGTATCACTTTGCATTGTGCTGCTCGACTGAAAATGAAGGTAAACGTCACCAGAGCGATTGTAAAAGAAGGATCGTTTAAACACATCAAATACTTATTGTAGTGGTTGCAGTTGCGGTAAAACCGGAACCTGTAACAGAAAAAATTGACAAATAATCATATGAACTTACTTCTATCAACAATACATACTACAAAGAACGTCATATATCTTGATTTCATCCAATGAAAAGTAAAAATTTGTGCTCGGTCCATTGCGAATCATTCTAAACGCAAGCTTAAAAGATACACCATAATATTTCAATGAATAAAACACCGTACAATAACTCACTTGATATGAAGATGATGAAGGAGCCACAAAATTACTTTGACTACGATGCCACTTGTTTTCTGCTCGTGGTGTCACTTCAATGATTTGTTCTGTATCTGTATTCAACTTCCATCCTGCTTGTATTCTAGCATCGTTGAATATATCACTCATATAATAATAGAAATCAAGACATTGAATAGTGCTCGAGGTTTGTTGAGCGTTGGCCGAATCAGTCTGATCGTATGCACCAGCACTACTTCCTCCTCTAATATTAGCGAACTTTTCTGAAAACCATGGATATATTCAAGCAATAGTGACCTAAATCTAAATCTGAGCAATCACAAACCGATCGAGCATTGCCCCAATCCATTCGTAGTGTGACATGTATAGTTGGTAGCAGTATAACGTCGGCAAAAGTGCATGTCCCAGTTTCATGGTGTGTGTACATATGGAAGCTGGCAGCGTTGGTTGCTTCGGTGTAGTTAGTGATTCTGTAAAATAGGTGACATCCAAAAACGCAATCTTCGTGATATTTGACTTGGAAAAACACTTACCAATAGAAGTAACATCATATAGGGCTGAGTAGGCTTGGCACCCGGGAGCGTGCCGGGTATTATGGTTAAAGAGGGGAGTCCTGCTCCTGCCGTTTTAGTGAATGCACAAGCAGGTACTCCATCAGTGTCGAAATTGCATTGGTAATTCACATTTTGAGAGCGACAAAATGTCAAAGTTAAAAGCAGAACTATAACATTGGTAGTTTAGAATTGAAAGTGATCATTTGCAATTAGAACCTACCAACTATTATATCAGAACCTTGTTTGCTTGTAACTTAGTCAACCGTTGTCTTCTAGATGTAATGATTTCGACTAATCTAAAACACTAATAAAATCTTATTCTGAAACAAATTGAAAATCTGAAGTTTATTTTGCTAATTAAAAGAAGAAGATACTGGGCAAATTTGAACATATATGATTGTTTTCATGAAAGAATATGTTTCACGATTTGTATATTGCTTATTGTATGCAGAAGCTTAGAAGAAATACAAGGCCGATGGTTATCAGCTCTGGTGGTGTAAATGAATAAGAAAAAACTACCTGACTCTGTTATCCTCATTACAAATGATATACATGTCTACTAAAAGCCCTGATTTAGTGCATAAATATTGATTTGATGTGACTGCTACTCTTGCTCATTTACTATCCATGACAGGTTCAAGATAGTTATCAAAATCGAGGCATTTGTGGTTCATAGGATACCATCAAGTTTCATATCTTAATAATGATGAAATTCTTGTTAAAAAAGTAATGTGTTTATTTACGCCCTTAATTGTTATCAAATTATAAGTAATGAAAGTGGATAGTTGTCATTATTGACGGAGAAGCAAGAGAAATTCACTCTGTTTCTACAACACTAAATGTTTTAAGGTAGTAGAACGATGAATTTTATTTCGAATTTCTTACCGATTATGACGACATATGTAAAGAAAATGGAAAATATAACAAACGTTCATTCATCATCAGGATATAATAAAACATATGCAACCTGAAGGCTAGTGACCGCTAGAGCAGTCACCATGCCCATCAATAGTCATAAAAAATATGTGCGAAACTGTTCCACAAGAGAGAAAACGAAGAAAAATCCTATAGTGACTACTTACTCTCAAAATAAGACCTCTCGTCAAATAACTAAATAACTGCTGGTAAAATCTATTGTTTTGAATTCGTCTTGCTAGTCAAACTGAATGTAAGTTTAATGATAAAGAAAAGATACATGTCTATCACCACAATTAGAGAGACTTCTTCAAAATGAAAAACCACTATAGAAACAATTGATACAAGACTTTTAGGAAGCATTAAAAATGTGTTTAATGTGCGTATGATTTGAGTTTTGTACAATGGATAAATTGTAGTTCTAAAATTTCAGAAATGTAGTTGAGGAATGCTAATAACACTGAATAAGAAAACGGAAAGAATCAATCTGTCATGTAATTATACTTATTTCATGTTGTTGTTTTTTGCGTTTTTATGAGTAGATGTCAAATTCTAGTTCGAATATAAATGGAGAAAAAAAAGTTAAACTAAAACTAAATCTATTCCTAGATTTAGTTTAACTTTCCGATATATGCGACGTATGAATACATATATAACCTTCACCCGTACCCACATTTGAGCACTCCTTCATGGTACCCATCACCCAGAAACGCATTTGAAGTATCCCAGATACCGCTGCACCCCTTCCGGGTACCCTTCACCCACACCCTCACACCCCACCCCACACCCACAGTTATCCCTTAGTTTCCCTCAACCGACACTCACTCCATCTTAAACTAAATATAAAACTAAAACTAAATCTATTTCTATCACTTATTTTCGAATTGATACCATGCACTTGGGTGTGCATTTATATTCGAATTCGAACTAGGCATCTCATGGTTTTTATATATGAAATTTTATTTATGATAAAACCCAATCGAACAATAATGAATACAACTGTCACCATTGATCAAAAGATTCAGAAATATATTCAATGGAAGAATCACTATCTCGTGCTTCAAATGCTTCTTCCAGAGGTATGAACTCCAGATCTTTGTTTGCAATTTCTGGTTTTGTACCTGTGGAGTATATCACCATGCCCAAGATAATCATTATGAAAACGGGAACACTGACACCGAGTGATAGAGCAAGAATTAGACCCAATCTGTTTTCTTTGGCTGCTAAAGTAAACAAACTTATTTGAACGAAAATGAAACATATCTATGCTTGCGTGAAGGTGATTGGGTGATTTCTTCCGTCGAGTGTCTTTCTGTTGTTGTTGAAGACTGTGATACGGTTGTAAATGGAGCTGTCTGATTAACAGACGGCTCAAATACATCTAAAACAACAGGCAATCATTATTTTCTATAATTTCCCGTGACGTTACTTACGTTGACAGTTCCGGTTATATATATTGACATTGTCTAATGCAAAGAAGATTGTTTTATTTAAAGTAGGATCTTCAGTTCGATTAGTTGCTGTCACTTCAAAACGAAAGATCAACTAAAACAATCGATAAACAAAATGCAGATCACTTCAAATTTCAAAGGAATATTACAGTGGAATTAGTCGATGTCGAATTGAATGTTACTTTTCGAGAATGCCAACGATTTTCTATCATGTCAATATCTGAAAGTCGATCGATTTCAATTTCATCTTCGGTTTCATTATCAGATTTAATCAAAACTGAAACTTGTTGGCCAAAAACCAGTTTCTCATAAACAGTAAAGTAATAATAATATTGAAGACATTGCTCTTCAACTGAATCACGCATCATTACATCTTGACTAATCAATTGATTAATAGTTTTACTTGATTCCCAAGCATTAATAGAGACCAAACCATAATATCCTAACAAAGAGAGACATATCGATCTGTAATTT